CTGTATCCGAGACCTAATCGCGTGAACATTATTCTTTATGATGAGAGACTGAACTGCTGATGACATTTCTTTTTTAGTAGAATGCGTACCCATATAAAACACATCTTGTATTAGTTTACCAAAACTTGAAAGGTTCTCAATTTCTTTATATGCATATGGTCATGCTACTTCTTTAATAGTAATACCAGATATGTGGCATGGTATTATCTGTTTCTATGATATACTTATAAGAAAGAGTAGTTCAAATACCACGTCAACAACGATTCTACGAAGGAGTGTCTGGATTGGTGAGGGGGTTCGTTCATTTCTGTATTCTATAATTTTTAGTCCATTTTCTCTATTCTTTATACTTTTTGCTCATTATTCTCTTATCTTTATATTTAAGCACCTCACTATTCTCTATTCTTTATTTTTTTGGTCCATTTTTCTCTATTCTTTATATTTTTGCCCATTATTCTCTGTTCTGTTAACCCCCATCCACACCCTCATGAAGTAGATTTTCTATTACGGCAGTTATTAACCTTTGTCAGACTATTGGGGTGTCGGACCAGTGGGGTGTCGGACAAATGGGGTGTCGAACTAACGGGGTGTCAGACCGATGGGGTGTCGGAATATCGGGGCAACCCCCAAAAATAAGCTCACTAAGACAAATACCAACCATCTTTTATTTTTTCTACTATTTTGAATCCAAACAAGGAAAAAAATGCATTCATAATCGAGGGGCCATTGAGGGTGTGGATGGGTTTTTTCAGAATGGAAAATAATGGAAAAAAAATAATAGACAAAAATTGACAAAAAAAATGTAAAAATGGAGAATAATGAACAATAGTATAAAGAATAGAGAAAATGGCCTAAACAATTTTAAAATAAAGAAATGAAGAACCACCCATCCAGACCATCATTATTTTTAGATCTCGGTAATACCGATACAAATATCTTTGATTTAAACGCTGTGTACTTGTTGAATTAATACCATTCTAAAAAAACATTTTTCTTGAAATCATCTGAAAGATAAACAGTTGGCTTCTGCTAACAATTAAATACAAATTATGATTTTTATTTCCATTTTGTTGAAAGTACACAGAAAAGCCATTGGAGTCAACTATGTTTAGTCTGCATTTTTTTTTAGGTATAAAAAATAATTGGAAGTAAAAAATAAGAGTGCAGAAATGAACATTCATCAAAGAAAATTGAATAAAAGATTTTAAGATTTATAGTTTGTTTTGAGTACACATACCTATTTCAGACCAATTAGAACACACCTTGCAGTCCAGTGTGGATGTGCAGTCCAGTGTGAATGAGGAGATGGAGGCTGTATGAAGGAATCGCCTGGACATTCATTTTAATGCCATCAGTGATTCCTCAGTTCCTGCTGCAGCCCCACTGACAGTTGTTAATAAGATGGTACAAAACAGGACTGACCTGAATGTTAGGTATACTCTAAACTCTAAATACACAGACATTTGAAATTACAAGGATATAAATGTCTTCTCCGCTTTTAAAGTAAACTACATCTACATCACCTTGCGATAATATATAGTGGCATTTAAGTACATATGGTTTTGTTTTTGTTTTGCTTTTTTCTTTATTTATTTGCCTTTTTTACATTATTTTATTAGTACCAGCGTTAATACTATATAGCATAAAATGCTTGAAGAATAATATGTGTATATACTAAAAATATTCAGTCTCCCAAGAAAATGTAGGTTAAACTGACCTCATTGTTGATACTATAGATCTTCTATTTATGAAGAATTGTTGTTATATCTCGTCCAATCGTACATAAGAACATATTCACAACAACCACAAGTCGCTCAAGCATAAAATGATAATTGAAGTGGTCCAAGACATAAAGCATCAATCGTTTCACTTTTTAACTGATTTTCGTAAAACATAAATTGTTTCTGAAAGGAATTGAAAATAGTGGGGAGGGGGAGGGGTTTAACATTCACTAAAAAATAAATAAAATAAAGTTGATGTCTAATTAGTAAGTGATACATGTAGTAATATTCCCGGGTTAAGTTTCGTTTCATTGCAAAGCTATAAGTAAACCTTAATACAAGAACATAAACAAGTTTATGAAGTCTGAACAGACATGGATAAATAGATGTACCTGATACACTTTTATTATGTTTTTATATGCTATCCTCTTGTACACATTGAAGTGTAATAATTAAATCAATGAAGTTCTATGCATATATACAAAAATTGGTCTAGTGGAATTCATGACATCTATTTTATGTTTTATCTCCTTGTTTTCTAGATCCGATGAACAGGAACCACCACAAAAAAAAAAAAAAACGAAGAAAAAGACAGCTGATGATGTCTACAGTCTGCAGTGTCAAGTTTTGGAGAGAAAATTAATTAAAACAAACCTCCAAATTCAGTTGTATGAAAGACTACACAGCAAGCTTGATGACAATCTTACTGCTGGGTTGCTGTCTTTCATGGAGCAGTATAATATAAAGATTCTATTTCTAATGTTAACCTGTTGTTTTTTTGTTTTGTTTATCTTAAATATATATATATATTTATATGTTGACTCTTTGTCTGGTTTATTTTTTATTTTCCACTGGCAAAAACATTTCATAAACAGGAGTGCCCACACTGATATGTTCAACTGCTTTCTGAGGCTGATCACAATTCAATTTATGCAGAAAGTCTTTAAGATAAAATTATAACTACAAATATCACAAAAACTTTATAAATGACTATACGGTATATGTTTTATTCTTAGGTGAGGTCAGGTGAACCATGTATTGGTGGACTTCGGCTGTTGTCTGCTCTATTGTCGGGTTGTTGTCTCTTTGAAATATTCCCCATTTCCATTCTCAATTTTACTTATTGATATGAAACCTAGCAATAATTTAATAGACCAAAAACTGTCTAACCTATAAATAATGATTGAGAAATTCACATGACAGCAAAAAACTTCGTAACATAAAGTATCTGTATACAATTTATGAAGGAAGCAGAACTTCTACCTCTTGAAAAATAAAGAGAGACAAAATTACAAAAATCAATTGTTCAGAGAACAATTGAAGGTCTTTCCACATCAAAGAAATTTTGAAAAGAAGATAGTTAATTTATTTTGATGCGATACATAAGTGGTTTCGATATACTTTTGAGTCTAATAAGGGAGATAATTTGCTACTTCCGGTGAATTAAATGTCACTTCAGGTCTCATATGATAGCTTTTTTTCACACTGATTCCAAAAATATATAGTTTGTATATACTTTTGCCTGTAAACCAGGAGATAATTGGCCACTTCCTGTTTATCGAAAGTCACTTCTAGTCTTTAGTGATAAGTTAATGTATCTACAATTCAAAATATATGGATTCCTTTGAACCAAAATTTAGAAGTTACCACATGTTGCAAATGACAAATTAATAGAAATATATTGTCAATATCTTGTACGGTTTATGAAAAGAAGTGAGAATAAGCCAAAATCAAAATTTAGAATTTGACCTTGACCTTTGACCTTGACCCATTTTTCTTTTTTTTTGAACCAAGGACCTCAAATCCAAAGACCCTAGGTCTCTTACCATTTTGTTTTTCATTTACCAATGCAAATTTTTTATATCAAATGCATAAGGGGAAATAATTCTCATATGGAGTCTCCAGATAGCTTCGGTTCAAATGATACCCTAAATCCTGAAGACATAACGAGCAATTTGGTAAAATAAATTTGTCGTAATCTTTTACGGTTGCGAAGAAGTAGCAAACACAAGAAAAATAGTGTTCGGGGAGATAACTCTTACAAAGAAAAGTATTCGGTTAAGCAGGGTCAGTTTTGAAAGCGCATTAACTGTTCGATATCATATACCAAATATCAAATCGACATCTTGCGAAAAAACCAAATAGCGAAAGAAAAAAAAAAATTAGGCGGAAGAAAAAAACAAAAATAATCAGAACAAAATCAATAGGTCTTTCCATGGAAAAGTGGAAAGACCTAATAATAATCAAAACAAAAACAATAAGTCTTTCCACAGAAAAGTGGAAAGACCTAATAATCAGAACAAATACAATAGGTCTTTCCACAGAAAAGTGGAAAGACCAAATAATAATCAGAACAAATACAATAGGTCTTTCCACAGAAAAGTGGAAAGACCTAATAAAGTGGAAAGGTAATTAAGAATTTAATGTGCGAATTTAATGTGTGAAGTACATCTGAGTGATGTGATCCCTAATTCTTCTTCCATCATTGCTCCATTGTACACTGCATCTATATCAGGCATCTCCTCTTCTTGATCTTCTGGCAGTTCAGACTCATTCATCCACACAGCTATATTGTGCAGAATGGCACAAGCCATGATAATGCTACATACCCTTTCAGGTTTCATACGAATCTATAAAAGTAAAAAAAATATTAAAATTTATTAAAAACAATATGAACTTATGACATTAGCAGTCTTATTAATTTGACACTCTTCCCAAATCTTTATTAAGCCTTTTGTTCAGTGGTTGTCGAGTGTTCATGTTGTTCTTAGGTTTTTCCTTTTTATTTTTCTTTTTTTTTCTATAGATTAAACTTGGTTTCCTTTTTGAACTGATTTACACTAGTCATGTTGGGCCCTTAACAGCTTGCTGTTCAGTGTTATGCCAGGCTCCGTGTTGAATGACGTATAATTGACCTATAATTCTTAACTTTTTACACAGTGGCGGATCCAGAAATTTTCATAAGTGGGGCCCACTGACTGCCTAAGAGGGGGCCCGCTCCGGTCATGCTTCAGTGATTTGCTATATAATCAACAATTTTTTTCCAGAAAAGGGGGGCCAGGGCCCGCTAGCCCCCCTCTAAATCCGCCTCTGTTATACATTGTGACTTGGTTGCAGAGTTGTCTCATTGGCACTTATATCACATCTTCTTATTTATATGGTCTTATATACATGATTTTTTTTTAATTTTGGTTTTTAGTTTTTTGACACTATACAATGAATCAAATAATTTTTTCTTCAAAATTTAACACGTTCATGGAGGGAATCTGCTTTTTGTCTGGTCTTCATTTGCAGGACGGGCATAAGGCGTCATGATGAATGGGCGGCATGGATATCCACTATCCCCAAATAAGATGCAACTTTCCCAGTTAGGTGTCTTTTCCATGTGTGTACATACCTAAACAATGAAATTGCATGGTATATGTAAAACAAAATCATGTTTCAACTGGACAAATTGTCATGTAAATTAAGGGATGATAAAAATGAAAGTATTTAAAGAAGAGTTCCAATATAAAAAAAAGAAGATGTGGTATGAATGCCAATGAGACAACTCTCCACAAGAGACCAAAATGACACAGAAATTAACAACTAAAGGTCACTGTACGGCCTTCAACAGTGAGCAAAACCCATACGCAATGTCCGCTGCATTGCATATATGTTATCTATTTAAGATACAAGGGCAATAGCTAAATAAAACAATCTATATATCTCTTAAATTAGAGAAATTAAGGCTTCAGGTAATGAAATGTCATTACCAATATAATTGATTGTTCTAAAAGGCATAACTCTTTTAAAAATTAATTGCTCAGTACTGTTTTTGAAACTCATCAAAAGCATTGATTATAAAACTTACAATATAAACTTCATAAAAATCTGGTAAGATTTGTACACATAATTAAGGGCCCTTATGGGCCAATTTTCCATATTTAATCATTATTTCCAAGAGGCATAACTATATGAAAAATAATTCATCAGCGGTGATTTTTTAACTCGTTCAAGACACATAAAAATATTTTTTTGTCAAGATTATGCATAAATTTGTCAATGATAACAATAAAAAAATGGAAGAAAGATTTGGCTTAACATATATATACCTGTGAAGTTCTGAAGATGTGTGCATCGTGTGCATTTCTTGGCCAGGATGTGTTGATATTTGTAAATTTTCCTGTAAAAGAAAATAGTGAATTCATTATAGAGCACATGCAATTCTCAACTAGCAAAACCAGTTAAACAAAGAATTAAGGACATGTTTTTCTTCCCATTGAATTCAAATTCAAATTCAAATATCTTTATTCCTAATAAAAAGCATATAAATCAACACAAATCACAAAGTTCATACAATATCCACACAAAAAACACATGCAATCTAACATACAAACTGATTGTTAATAATTAGACACGATTTAGAACAAATATGGAAACATGATAATAAAAAAAGAAGTACATGATAGGAGAGAGCCAGTACAAAGAGGAATAACTCTATCTATTTATCTTAACTTTGAATTGGCATGGATCAAAAACACACAAACACAAGTTCATCTGCAACTTAGTTTATGAGACAGTCCCACTTAATATGCTATAGAATTGCCAATTCCATTGAACATGGGGAAACTATTATCAATATACCAACATTCGTATATATGCGTATATCTTGTATTTTGAATGGTTCGAGTATGCAATGGTTCAAATTAGGTACGAGTTGTCAAGGTACGAGTTTGCAAGGAAGCAGTTGACTTGCTTCCCTTTAAGGTAGATAGGGTGTCTTCCTCCATCTTGAATTTTGAAATACCAGAAAACAATCGGTCTAGATCTTTAAGAAAATATGCAAATTTTGAGAGTAGTAGGTAATTCATGTGTAAGAATTTTTAATTCAATATAAAAAATGACATGTTTTATCATATTTATGGTTATATTTTACAAAAAACAGAACACTTTTGTTTGATTAAATTTTTTCCAACTTTGCCACATAAGGGGAGGCAACTCAAATGTAAGGGCAGATAATTCAGATAAAGTTACTTTTACAATAGAATGTGTTAGGAATTTACCTATTTTATTATGTAGCAAGAAAACGGGTCCCGTGACCCCATTTTTTCTTTTTCTTATCTGAAAGCATAATATTAGAGCTATCTTCTCATATTTTATCTCAAAATTCTATGGTGTAGTTTTTGTTTTATGGCAGAAAATTGGGTTTTCCATGCATAATCTATACAAAATCTGTCAATTTTGCACAACCTATAGCGTGAAAATAAGCCCCGTGACCCATTCTTTTTATTATTTTTTTTTAAAAAGCATGATATAAACTACATTTTGGCAAATTATTAAAAAATTCTATGGATTATAATTTAGACACCCCATCTACCTTAATTTTTGTTTTTGCTATAAGAAACATTATATTTTTGTAAACATACCATCTGCATCACACACGGCCTGCACATTGATGCTATGGTACCCTTTCCTGTTAACATATGATGCCTCATCAGTGGTAGGTGCCTGTATTCGTACATGTGTACCATCAATGGCTCCAATTACATTGGGAAACCCTCCAATTCTGAAATTCCCAGCCTTTATTTTATTATTCTACATCACTTCTTGGCCATTTAATAAACTCGTTCTGTCTCCTACACAATGCAGCTGTGGTGTCCTTTACAACCCTTGACACTGTGCCTTTGTCCAACCCTTTAAAAAGAAATTTTATTAAAACCATGATGACATAAGAAGAAATTGGCAACATAGATATTGAGGGTAAATTCGGTAATATATTAAAATTAAAAACAAATAAATGAATGAATACAAATATGATAATAAAATCAATTAAATTCTTACCAAGTGTGTCTCCAACAACTTGTAGGAAACTTCCACTGGCTAAAAATTTTAGTGTAACCATGACTTGCTGTTCCACAGTGAATGCATGGTTTCTGTGTGTCCCTCTCTGTAAGTCATCCCTAACAAGGTCTGAGAGCACCAAACTACTACGTCTGCTGAATCGATATCGTGTCCTTAACTCCTCATCAGTGAAATCCAAAGATAAGCCATCCCTGTTGCGAAAGTGTTGCGGTCTTCTTTGTTGAGGAACATTGTATAATACTAAGCCAGCCATGTTTAACGCAGTCGTTAGTATTTAATCATGGGTAAAAAAATGATTAAAGTTGGCGAGAGTTTAACACAAAAGTTAACGATAATATTTTTGAACAACACTTAACATTGTCGTTAAATTATAACGACACGTTAACGACAGTTTAACGCAGTCGTTAGCCTAACGACACTTTTTAACAACTGGGCCCAGGTGTAAATAAGGAAATACAAAGAAGAAAGGAAAGAAAAAAATATTGTACTAAGTACTGAATAGACAAATAACTAAAGGTGTAAAATAAAGAACAAAATTAATATCAGTCAAAACTGAATCAAAATCAAATGTCTGAAAAGAAAATAATAAAGTACTAATGATATATATAAAGTATCAACTAAATAAGAAACAATACTAATGAAATATAATCTAATGCGCAAAGAACTTATCCCAAAGTAATATATCAAATCTGAAAAATGAAAAAAAAAAAAAAAAATTATCTGAAATAAACTATAATAATACATGTCAATCTATAGATGTAAGTACAAAATACACAATAGGAATAGTGATAAGCTAATAAATACTAAAAATCAAATAAAATCTAATATGTACTCAATATGAAAACTCCCAAGAAAAAAATAAAGTAAACTGTATAAATAAGAAAATATGTAATGAAAATCTCAAATGAAGTCATAAACAATCAAGTAAACTTACTATAAATCAATAAATGTAATGTAAAATAGCAAAAAAATAGGAGTTATTTCCCTTTACCAAGGAGAAATACTAAACTAATACCTGAGTAGATGAATGTATACAATGAATTACCTCCCCTGAATATGGAACTAACTGTAACAATCTACAAAAAAAATAAAGTGTATGAGGATTATCTCCCCTGATACCAAATCAATTCAATCTACAAAAGATATAAATATAATATATTAATTATCTCCTCTTATAACAACCAATAAGAACAAGAAAATATATATATATATATATATACCTAGTAAATATCAACAAATGTATATGTAATGTAGTGCAGGAAATAATATATATATATCACTAATAAAAGCATGTATACTAAAGTGCTATATACTTAACCTTTGTCTCTTAATATACCATGCTTGTATCGCTAAATGCTATATATCACATATAACCTATGTCTCGCAAAAACCTAATGTGTGACTCACAATACAATATGTCTCGCTTACCTGTTCTCACACATAAAATAAATACTATACTAATACTGCTGCACCTGAAAAGGACTTCGGTACTTTTATTTATTAAACACTCAACAAATATAATATAATACTATAAGTTCAAATAAATCACACTGAACTATAGCAACTCCAAGTAAAGTGTAACAAGTAACTGCTTAAATAGCCTGCAAAAGCACAAGTCAGTAAAGTATAAAGTTCCAAGTTAACTATCAACTCAAGTATGAAAAGTACAACTGTCCAATCACAATAGATAAAATAAGTGTCAGGTAGTACCAAACAGTAAAGTAGGAAAACGGATTAGTAAACTTAACTGTAACTAAATAGGTAGGTATCACAATCTCAAAATACAAACATTCATTCACAGACACACACACACAATTATACTAAGTGCCTAATCAAATCCCTATTTATCAAACAAATTTTAAGTTTAATAAATAAGAGAAATTAAAAAAAAATGGTCACTACTAATGTCAACAGTAAACCTTTATTCAATAAAATTGAGAATGGAAATGGGGAATGTGTCAAAGAGACAACAACCCGACCACAGAACAGACAACAGCAGAAGGCCACCAACAGGTCTTCAATGCAGCGAGAAATTCCCGCACCCGGAGGCGTCCTTCAGCAGTACACATGTACTTAGACACAAAGTACACTAATGTCAAGGTCACACAAACATATACAAGGACAATATGATACACAAAATTGATTTACACACAGATAATACAATATTACACACAAATATTTACTAACACATATAATACGAATACAAGACAGACACACAATACACTATAAAATGTGTTTCTTGACTGTAAACGATAACAAAGTATATATCAGTTTTCTATTTCACTGCTTAATACTATGTTGAATATCAACAAGACAAATAACACTAAACATGCAAACAAACAAATGAAATTATGTGAGCTTACTGTATAAATCAAATTATCTTACTTTATATTGCTCAATGAAATGTCAAGTCAACTAAATATAAAGGTATAATACAATAAACAAGCAAATGCTATGTTTACAAATACAGTTTTCAATTTTGGATTTCAACAGCTGATTATGTTTCAAGTTATTACTACATGTACTTTCACACAATATATACTATGTCAACACAACTATGTAGGGGAATATATATTCTCACCAAATAGGTATGTCTTTCAGTCACAAATAATAAATACAAAATGCAAAAGCATAAAGTTCACAAATCACTGCAAAACTGTGTTGATTTTCTCATTTGTCCATGTGAAACAATCACTTCCGGTGCACGGTTCATTCCAGGTCATAGCTTCTGTGAGGCTCCAAAGCATAAACCTTTATGGGCGCCGAATGTAACGGGGTATTTTCTAGGTAAATACAACACAAACGATGATCTAGGGTTCTTTTCTTTTAATACACAATATTTAGACCCTAAAACATATAACAACAAATAATAAATATATACATGACAAGACAGTACATGTAACATATGGGCAAAGGGGAATAACTACAATTTATACTCATTCCTTTAAATATCTATATACTCAAATAAGCCCTTTAAGCACAACAATCTAACTCTTTAGTTAACTTTCTAATACAATATTCATATGTATCTCATAATTATAAATAATTATATACATCCCAAATCTTTTAAAGAGTTGTCCATTTTATAAATAAATTTGTATACAAAGTATACAAATTCTGACCAACATAAATATATCACATAAACTACATTTCACATAAACAGACAATTACTTAATTAAAACTAGGCAGCACAGACATTACAAGTAAACAACATAGAACACAATGCTTACCATGTATATGGTACATAGGTCAGTGTAGTAATTGGAAACATCACAGTGCTGTGTGTATAAAATCTGAGCACTGTCATATGAAAAGGTATTAATCCATGTCCTGAATAAATAAAAATATAACATTCATAAGTCCTGTGACAGGACTATTTCACCAATTAAATAAAATACACAACTACATTTAAAATATATAGTTTCAGAGTTCTGTTTTATTCAAGTACCAAATTTATCTATCTATTACTTTCAATGTAACTTTATAATATTCAAAGTACAAGAATGTTTTATATTAAAATGTTTAATATGACTCTGTGTTATTATTTAATGATTTAATCTTTTACTCTTTCATACTCCAAATATTCCTCCATTCAAAACATACATGCTATCCTTTCATAAAGTATTAAAATGACATACTATTAATTTGTTAATTAGAAATAAGGTAAATCAACTGACCTGAATATAAGAATATTGAAAATCCAAGAATATGAAGTATAATATATATAAGAAATCAATTTATCAAGCAGGTTATCTTTCATTACTGCGTTTCAACATGTCTGCAGTATTAATCTCCAGAAACAAAGGAAAAACCTATAGTAAGGCCTGAGGCCTAAAGATTGACCAATCAAAAGTTTAGAAATTTCCCTCCAAAATGATATGACAGAAAAGAGGTTCACCAAAGGATAACGAGAATAACACTAGAACAATAGTACTAGAAATAGAAACAATGAGTAACTAAACTATCAAACATTGCAATAAGATTATTAATCAACAATATCATATTTAATATATCAATCAAATATGACTCTGCCACATGAGAAAAGGAACAGGTAACAGTAACTGCGATATTTTGAAGTTCTTATACGGTTTAAAATGTATACTCCTCCTAGGTCAGGATCACATAAACAGATTACAAAAACATACAAATACAAAGTTTTTTATTGTCAATTATGACGCCCAATAATTTGAGCAGTACAATTAAGTTCAATTTCATACAAGTGATTACATATTGATTACATTGATTATTAACAATTAAACAAAATCAAGTCTTTCTCAGCAGAATAATTTCTACAGGAATAATATTTGTAGTTTTATAATATAATATAGATGGACAAACTACCGTAGACTAAACTGTATCTAGAATTAAATTTCTCTCTTCGAATAAAGTACACAATAATAAACTTACTTTTTTAATTATAACATTATCCTCAGATGACATTAACCATATTAGTTTTGATTTATTTGGGAGGCTTTTAAAGTTTTTGTTAACCTTATTTAAGTAATTTATATATTCAGATCTTTTATTTTCTAAAACAGGACACTGAAGAAGAAAATGAATTTCATCTTCACTTTCAGAGTTGCATAATTTACATATTTTATCCTCCACTCGAAGCCCCACATATCTGCCTCTTTCAATTTCTAATTTATGTGCACTGACTCTGAACTTAGTGAGCAGTCGTCTATCATCCTCATTCAAAATTAATAAGTATTTTTCCATACAAATATTTTCTTTAAATAATCTGTAAGTTCTAAGTTTATTTCCATGCTGTTTATTTTGTCTATCATTTTAAAGTTCAGATTTCCAAATACAAGAATATTTCTGTTTTAATTTCCGGTAAATTAGTGATTTTAAATCCATCTTCTTAACAAGTTTAAGATCTATATCAAGATATTTCATAAGAATAACAATATAACTATACCAACTTTTTTTGTTCAAAACTATTTAGTGATCTAGACATTCAGAGCTTCAGTGAGAAGGATGTCATCAGACTTTAATACATATTAATAATATCTAAACATATTTAAAATTACTTCAAGAAATAAGGGATATCTTCCCATTTCACCCAATACAGCTATATTTGTAGATTTCTTACCTAAACCCATAGAAAGTTTACACAATTTGACATGAATAATTTCTTGTTTCATGTCCTTGCATAGTTTAAATAGATTATGTTCATTTATATTTAGTTTAA